TGTGAACTAATGATCTGTGTGAACACATTATAGCTAAAATTCAATGGCATTCAATGCATTTCACAATGAGTTGTGTGAACCACACAAAATAGGAAATTTATATCCAAATATAGATGACAGCACTAAAAGATTTTGTACACAAAACGGCTAAAAAGTTGTTTACATTCAATAAACTATTAAAACAACAGAAAATTACGACTATTTCTCTTAAATCACTTATAAATTTGTAATTTAAAAAAACGTTTATGTATTAACCATACTTTTGTTCATAATGATTTGTGTGAACTAATGATTTGTGTGAACTAAATGGCCAAATTTACCAAGTTCACCCAGTTCATGATGTACTGTAACTATAAAAAATTTTAAAAGTTAATGTTGTTAGTTTATTCAATGCTTGGCTCATGAATTGTAGTTAATATAATCCGATATATGGGTAATAAATAATGTATTTATTTGATTATTAATTTGAATTTTTTGGATACAATACTTATTTAGTGAATACTTTCATTTCTAAGTTCATCATATTTTAGGTTAAATATTGTAATAATAGGCATTAAATGAAATAAAATGATATAATCTTTTGTCATTTCTGTAATAACTTGTTTGAAAACCTTATCCAAACACTTATTGCCACAAATTCAAAGACTTCCTGGAAATAAATTCTGCAAAAACACAATAATATACGGCATATAATAGATGTTAATAATGAATTCAAATACACTGATAGACAGTAAAAAACAAAACAATTATCAAGAGATGGATGAAAAAGTGCCTTTCAATTGAAAGCAATGAGAAAATCGTTTCATGAAAATTGAATAAAACCTTCACTTAATTGAAGGAATTCTTTGATAATTATTTTAATGGATTACAGAAACTAATGATTTTGAGAGAGAAAAAACTGTTCACTATTTGAAAGAATATAATTAAGAGCAGAAAGAGTGGAGAAAAAAGAGTAATTTGTTTTAAATGTGTTTTGAATTGCGAGACAAACCATAAGAGTATTTGTGTGTGTTTTCAAGAGTGAAAATGATAGGAAAAATAATGATTTTGATTGTCAGCCAAAGCACTCATTTGTTGCAAATCACTGGATAAATACTCGGCAAAAGTGTTTCTGACTTTGTTTAAGTGCCTAATTGTTAGTGTAATATACGTGTATTGACTTAACCCATTAAATTCATGTCAACTAAACTATTTTCTCTCTTCACATATAAACACAAATAAACAATAATAAAAATCATTGAATTTATTAGTGAATTGAAATATAAAAAACAAATAAAACCCTCCATTAGTGTTAAGTTGTATTAAAAATAATTTAAAATTAGAAAAGTCATTGCATTTCAATAGTATTTTAAGAATTAATTTGTATTAATAAAGTTATCTAAATATTGAATACTTGATAATGAAGTGTGAATTTGAATTTTCGCCTTCTCTATGAATACATGGGAACTAAAGTATCGATTGATTAAACATTTGTCTACAAAAAATTAGTGCCAAGAAATCTTATCCATTAAACTATTTTTTTATCGCAAACTGTAGTGTTTATTGGATCTCATCATTGGTTTGTGTTTTCGTAAAAAATTTTATAACTATAATTTTGTAATAGTAATAATAATAAGTTTTGTAAGTTATTTAGTTATAATTATAACTAATAACGGCAACAGAAATGCCGGTCGAAGTGCCGGTATATGTGTTGATGGGAACGTGCGGTTGCGGTAAAACCACTTACGCCGAGGCACTGGTCAAAGAGTTTGGCTGTCATTATATAGAAGGCGATCGCTTACACCCGACGGCTAACGTCAATAAAATGTCGGCCGGAATACCGCTGACCGACGACGACCGGTGGGGATGGCTCGCAGCCATTCGCGACACTTATGTGCAAAAGGCAACAGAAATAGTGGCACAGGGACTGAGCGGCACGAGTGGCATCATTGTAGTCACCTGTTCCGCTCTGCGGTTAGTTTACAGGGATTTACTGCGAGATGTGCCCAAAGGGTCGTGTCGTGTGGTGTTTGTCTACTTGAAGGGTACCTACGAGTTGCTCGACTCCCGAATGAAGGCCAGAAGCGGTCACTTCATGGCATCAAATATGTTGAACAGTCAGTGGAAAACACTGGAAGAGCCCGATTCCCAACGCGAAGACGTCATCCTTCAAGACATTAGTGCCGATACCGACACTGTTGTCAAGAATCTAATCAAAGAAATTAAGAAACAATTGAATGTTTGAAATGAGTTGTTGTGCGAAATATTTTATAAAAACCAAAAACTAGTTATTAATTTTGATTCAAATCCAAAATTATTAAGACATTTTGTAATTAATATACATTTTGTAAAATTTTGATCAATTTGTTGTTACTAAAAGTGCCCTATACAATATTTGTATGCAATATTTCAATGATCTAATTTGCTCAAGTATCGTCAAATATTTGATTGCTTTGAATCTTGCCTTAAGATTTATAATACGTTTAGTGGTTAACGCCTTTTGACAATAAACATAAAAAGCTAGATCATTTAACAGTTTATTTTTTCAAAAATACAATATAAATTAATTAATTTAATGGCAAATACAATATGGTATTAATAAATCGTGAATTGTTATTCGTTGTTTGCATTTATTTAAATTAAACTAAATTTTAATTATTTTCTGAACATTTGTTGTAAAAATATTACAAAAAAATTATTTGAAAATAATAAAATCAAAGCAAATAAATCGATTCATTTAAATGAAATTAAAAGTTAATAATTGACATCTGATAAAAAGGTTTCAAGTATTGAATTTACATTCAAATTAAAATAACTTTTCAGACGATTTATGCTTAGCTGACGAGTCAGTGATGACTGAATCACGAGATAATCTTAATTAGTGTACATTTATATATGAGATAAAAATTAAATGCATTCATACATTGTGACAGATAATGACAAATAACAATAGCGTTGTAGTCATTCATAACAACTTAAATATACATTTCATAACAAAAATATGTCTTTAAAGACTTAATTAAATATTCAAGAATTCAAATATTTAATATTAAATTAATAATTGACTAAATATACAAATAATTTTTGGCTAATCTGCGAGTGTTTTGCTTCAATTAGTTAATAATGTGTTTAAATTAATATCTCAATTGATTTCCATTAAAATCCATCATTTATTGTCTGGTTTTGAATGAATTCTATGAAGCATTTGATTCATAGACGAGGCGTTCATTTTTCGCAATATATTCACTGTTGGAAAGCGTACATCAGATGCCTATTAAAAACATAAAATGCAATTAAAATTATTTACAAATAACATTACAGACAAAGTGAAAACTGACTCTAATTTTATGGGGTTTTGTCTCTTCGGCACTGGAATTGTGGCGCTTATTATTTCGCTCTTTTGATTGCAATCGTTTCTCAGAAGATTGGGACTCATTCTGAGTGACAATCATTGCGTTAGTCTCCACTGGATTTGTGTTATTATTGACTAAAATCAACGGCTGTTTAGGAACTGTCACACAATCATTGGTGTCCATAACGGGAATGAGAGTTGTGGTCAATCTATTGGTGTTAAGCGTGTTATTCAACGTAGGCTTTGGCAGTATTTTGCGTTGAATTAGTTCCGATCGTTTGGTCTGCAGTTCGGACGCGGGTTTCGCGAAGTCGACCCGTTTTCTGCCACCCATTCGACGGTTCTGTAAACCAGTGAACGCCGTCTGATTGGGCGCTGAAGTCACTGAATAGCCGCCAAAATTGTTTGTCAACGAATTGTGGATCAAATTGAAATCTTCGCCGATGACCGACACTTTGGGCATAATTACGGGCACATTATTGTCGCCCAAAACACAGTTCATGTCCGGAATGTAATCACTTCTAAACACTTTAACGGGAGTAACCTTTACGGGAGTAATTCGGGCCGAATTTGACGGACTTCTGGAAGCGTATAAAGTGATGGTCTTCTCGGGTGTCTTCAATTCCTGCATCAGATTCTTGACGACATTCGCAGAGTTTTCGCGCGCTTTCTGTACGTTAACTCGGATTTGAGGCGTTTTCGGTGTGTGTAGTGATGAGGCCGACGATGAAGTGTTGGTCTCAATGCTTGAGATGTCTTTATATGGTGTCATTTGGAGCTCCTTTTCGGTGATGATATCCAAAATGGCGTTATATTCTGGCGCCGACTCCAGATTCGCCAGAATATGGTTCACGTCGTCGTCGTTAATACGGATCTCTTGCGGATCAATGTTCTGGTCGTTTGTGTTTTGGAGACCCGTATCCGTCGACTGATGAGAGTTTTGGTCGCAATCATCGATCGGCGGCTCAGAAATGTTGCCAAAAATTTTGTTAATACTGTCGGCCAACACGTCATGCAATGGACCGAAGTTTAAGAGTTCGCCGACAATGAACTCCGGCTGAACTAACGGCTCGTTTATGTCGATCCGGAGGAGCGGTTCGCTGGCGTCTCCCAACTGATCGCTGGACCCCTCGACGAGTGTCTGATCGCACGAATCGCTGAACGAAGAGTTGAGTGATTGCGGCTTCAATGGAGTCGAACCGCCGCTCATCAGACGTCTTGGCGTCCGTTTCCGTCGCGGACTGTAGGCATCACTTCTGGACGGAGTCCTGAAGATAGCGTCATCTCTGACAGGAGTGACACAATTGTCATCACCAGCGGATCTGATGGTCTTTTGCGGCGTTTGAACCGTTTGGATGTTGTTAACGATCGGCGACTCATTGACGGCAATTGGGTTCATAATCAGTGGACTCGATGTCTGAATAATGCGGTATTGGTTTTGATGACACGTCTGAAGACTCGGCTGAAGACTATTTGCGGTCATATTTTGCGTCAATTTATTCAAAATGGTCTCAATTTTGGACAATTGTTGCGATAATCGCTTAAACTCTTCATTCGTGCACTTCTTGGTAGTGTCGGTCACTTGGGATCCGCTCGACTTCGAGCCACCGCTGCTCTCACGTGGCGTACAGTCCTTTCGCTGCTGAAGAGTGCAGAAGCCGTTAATGATGTCCAACAATGACTTGCCGTCGATATTAGTCGAGTAATTGAATCCATGTCTTAAACCGACGGCATATTCGGTCAAATGTTTGCTTTCCTTCAGAAAGTGTTTTTCGGTTTCAAAGCATTGGCTTTCCTTCAGATATCCTATCGATAGATATAAAGAGAGACAACTCATGAGTTTTTGGTTCAATGCATGAACTGATCCTTCGGGTGATAGTGAAGAGTGAGTCCATACATACCGAGCACTAGCCGTGCGATCTCTGATGGCATCAAATGAACGGTCATTTTTGGCCATCAATTCAATTGTCGTTTGGTTTCACTTTTCAATCGCTTTTATACTGTCTTTCAATTCAAATGTTTCTTTCAATTCATTTGTTTACGAAATCATTGTTTTTAACGTTAAAATGCATTCAACGGCTGAACACGTGTTGACACCTGTTATCCAAGACTCACATTATGTATAACTTATGCCCTCTTTTTGCAACACTTTCCACATTCTGATGGTTTGAATGCAATGTTAGGAATATTTGCGCAGAATTTTCACCTTTTTATAACTGAAAATGTATTTATCGTTATTAACGTTGAGATAATTGTCTCAATCAATACATGCCTATCACTAACCTCTCGATGAGTTTCTAATTTCACGAATGTATTGAATATCTCTATAAGACTCACTCCTCGGGACCAAAGTGTATGTGACATGACTTCACATCCGCTCGTAATTCAAGCAAAACTTGCCATTCATTTGGCACTTAATTATAGAGTTAGAGGAATAGCTTTAGGCCTCGAATACCATATCAAGAGATTATATCGGAATATAGTTTCATATAATTTATTGATTGCTTTACAATTATATGCCATAAATACGATTACTATCCAAATGTTTCAATCAAACCATTGCCTCAATTCAAACATGACTTCATTAAATGCAAACTTTTTTAGTTAATTAATGTCGGAAATATTTTTTTTATTAAAAAAAACTTTAACACAAAAAATAATATTATTTTATTATTAAATATATTTACGTAAAAAGTATAACATATTGTGTTTGAATTTTTATTAAATACGTGGAGGCGTTCACTAAATAAACTGTTCATTCAATGGGTTTCAGAATTAATATAGAATTATGAAAACAATTATTTTATACAAGAATTAATCGTATTATTACAACATATAATCTGTTTCTTAAATGAGTTATCGATTAATGGTTTTGCTGTTTCAATGAACACTTTATACAGAAATGAAAGTTTGCGTCAAATACTAAAGTGAATGAAGGAAGAGATGAATGAAAGACTTTTATATATTGTGAAGAATATATTAACTAAATATACTGTATATTAAACACAATATTTATTTACTGAATCGAGGGATCAATTTGAATATGTGTTAAAAATTGTATAAAAATTTGTTTTTTGTTGTAAAATGTAGATATATTTTAATATTTTCGTTGTGAGGACTCAATGAACTATAAAATATATTGAAGATGAGGAGAGATATATTGAATGAAACATATCTCTGCATTCATTCATATAATGTATGTTTGATTTTTGCGTTCAAATCTGTTGGGAGTGTTTTCTTTGAGCCGATCGTATAGTAGTGAAGCTTTTAGTGCTTCACATCCATAGCCATAGAGAGTGTATGGAGAGTACGGAGAGTATGACACCATCTCTTCCCACACACTCTAACAGAACGTGTTTTTCGCTAAAACTCTGAACACAAGAACTCAGGCCTTAACACAGTTTGCAAGAAGTTGTCGATTACTAGATATACTGTATGTATATATAACTCTCGGTGAATGAATGGATATAACATTAACTTGTTTTCCCTATGTTTTGATCCTTAAATGCCAACAAAAGTAGTATATATTTTTTATTTCAAAAAACTTTCGTTTAATTACATGGAAACATGAATATATTATTTACGACGAGATTAATTAAGTATTGATATTCAAATGTAAAACAATATTCAAGTATTTACACTGTTTTCGCCGGTTTTACCACCATTTTCTGAAAAAATGTTTGGTAAGTAGTTTTGTATAACTGTTGAAACATTTGTTGCTATTTCTTATACACAAAAATACGTTAAATTGTAATTTTAAATGAAATTATTATTGATTAAATTTTTATAATTTAATAACTTTTTTATTTTGAATCGAAAGGTTAGTACACGAAAAGAAAAATGAAAACTTATTCAATACAAGTAAATCTTATAAACAGTTTTCAAAACAGTTGTGATTATCTAATCTGATATTATTGACTGAATTCAATGCTCTCCTCTATTATTGACTCTCAATAGAAGCGAATTATTAGTTTTTGAGGGAAAATAAACTAAAATTAGTTTTGAAAATATTAAATGAACTCAAAGTTTATATATTTAGAGTGAAAACAGAGAACCGAATGTAAATAACTGTTCATTTGAGCAGTTTTTCACAGAAGAGTGAAAAAATAAACTTCAAATCCTATTCTTAAAAACTAATACAAAATTAGATTCTTTGCTCACTTTTCACATGAATTTTAAATCATTTCTAAATGTGTTGTTATTAATATAATGTGTCGTTAAATACATAAACATTACGCAAATCTAGTTTAGTTTGTTTTAGTGAACATTTACTTCCGATGCTATGTTTAGCCTAAGTTAATAGTCTTTAAGATAAATAATTTTTCTAAACTCATTAAAATCATTGTCACATTTATGTTAAACTAATTTTAAAGTATTTGCTTTCATTTAATGTTTAATAAAAGAGAAAATATTTATATATAATATATTAACATTTATTATAGACATTTTTATATCATTTCATGAGATAATGAAAATTTAAAATTAAGTTTGGTTTAAAATTTCCTAACTTAAGAGCAATGTTTAAATTAAAGCAAAGGATTTATTTTCTTTCTTATATAACATATTATTAAAGACATTAATTTTGTGAAAATTATGAGTAAAACCTTTGAAGAGGCAATTTTTTGGCAAAAACACAATAATATGTTATAAAAATGTCACTTTTATCTTATAAATCACAACATTGTTGTTATAATAAAAATCTTATTCTACATAACGATTAATAATAATAATTTTACATTAATTCACAGACAAACAACTCGTATTTGAAATGCTTTATTTAGATTATATTATAATAAATTGCTTTTTAAAAGACTCTTGAAATGAAAGTTTAAATTTAGAAATTAATAAATAGAAAATATTCTAATTTTTAAGACAATAAAATTGTAATAAATCTTTCGATTCGTTGGATTCAAATAATTTCAATACATTATTAAATTAAAATCTATTTATGGAGAAAATATTCTGTAGAAACATAAAAATAGTTTTCCCAAAAGAATATTCTGCTACACATTGTATTGATAAAAAAGATTCTTTAGTTTCTCAATATAATAGTACACGTGTTTTAATGGTTAAACGTATGTTATTAATAATGCAAACAAAACAAAAAAATCTCTTTTAAAGCCGACTTACAATTGATTAAATCAATAAATCATTTTCAATTTATTCCCAATGCTTTTTATCGTACACTACTGTATTATACAGTCTGTATACCAGAAAATTTTAAACTAATTCATAAAAGATATATTTCGTGTTTTAAAATAATATAAAAAATAAGATTTTTCATTTAAATTGACTGATGAAAGCATCAGTATATACGGTATACAGTATATCATGAAAAAAGTAGATAAAAGCAATTTTAACATAAGTTTTTCGATATTAAATGCTTTGAAATGTTATATTTAAAAAGCAAAAATTGTTTGGTGATTGATTTGTGGAGAATTTACTGCTCAGACAAACACATGAAACTGTATATAAAAAATATCAAATGAAATCCCACTCATGAAAACTTTTTGCTCATATTTTAGTTTTATTTTTCAATAATTTTGTGAGACATTGAATCTTTGAAACACACATTTTGTTAAATATATCCGACGCCTAATATAGCGCTAAAATTGTATTATTTTTGGTGAAAATTGTTTATTTTATTAAATTTGTGCGAAACAGTAATTTACACTAATTAAGTATGTTTTACACAAAGGCGCTAAAATTTTGCATATAATTAAAGCTTATTAAGAAAATTAATTAAAGCCTAAAACTACAAATATAAATATAAATAAAGCCTTCAATGTTTAGTTCATTAAATTTTCCATTTTTAATAAATTATTTAGTAAATAAATTTATAAATATATTATTATTAAATACGGAAACAATATTTAAAAAATTAGTACTCATTCTATCAAAAAAAGTGTTCAATCAATCAATTTATTGTTATAGATAATTAGACACAAATGTATTGAGATGTTTGGCATTTTTGAAATTCAGACCTATTTGTGAGTTTTTCACTATTTTATTTCTGTTCACATTTATTTATAACCCTTTGAGTAAATATGATCATGGTACTGTACCATATAATTAGTTAAATAACCCGAATATTTCGTGACTTTATTTGATTTTTTAGACTGAAATGAATTTTGTTTTCTTATCTCAAAATTATGCACAAAAAAGAGGAAAAACGCCTTAAAAAGCATTAATAAATAATGAGATCTATTCGAGTGATTACACCATTATATCAATACTAAGAAGTTATTCAGATTTACTTTTTATTAATGATGTTTTGATTAACTTTATTGGAATTCTCGAAGAATAATATACACAAAACATGTCATTAAATACACATTTTATATGCTTTCTGGAGAACTCTATTAAGACTTTCTCTCTTTATTGCATTTTCTTTTGTATACTTATATCAATAATGTTGTGATTTCCTGACAGTTATCATCAAAATAATTGCACTATTGGTCTCAGTTTGGCTGAGGGTCAGTCTGGGGGCCAAATGTCCGCCCTCTCCAACCATAGCCCCGTGCAGTTGTGCTCAATATATAAATCAGATCTCGTGTTGGAATATCAAACCTGATGTGAATTTAACGCAAATATTTGTCAATTTGACGAAAGCGTTGGGAAAGAATAGCAAACAAATAATTTACGATGAATTCAAACTCATAGACTCAGAGCTGACAGACATCGGCTCCGATGACGACAGTGTGGAGGACTTCTTCGCCGGCGTTGCCTTCAATAAGATTCAGATAACAAAGAATCGTAAACTCAAACGCATTCACAACAATGTATTCAAGTCCTCATTCAATATAACGACTTCCATCACAATTAGCGAGAATGCAATTCTGGCTAACGATGCGCCCAATGAGAGGCAGATCTTTGATTTGTTAAATAGTTTTGAGTTCGCGACTGAGATATGGCTCACAGACAACAACATCAGTACAATACCGGAGAAGGCATTTAATAGGTCTCAGAACTCGTTGGCCTGGCTTTCATTCATCGACAACAATATAGTGAGTGTCGGCTCTCACGCCTTCTACTCCTTACCGGCGCTCAATTATATACTACTCGACGGCAACCGAATCGATAAGATCTCTAACAAGGCTTTCGAATTGTCAAACAATGTCTCTAATTACCAATTATTAAGACTTTTTCTCAGAGATAATGACTTGAATTCGGACTCTTTCGAGAGCGGAACCTTTGAGCGCATCCACAGAAAACTATTGCTCGACTTATCCAAGAATAACATCACTCACCTTAAGAGGGATGTGTTTACACCCGTCTTCAGACGAAACGGCAGTGCAATCATATTGAGACACAACCCTCTCGTTTGCGATTGCAATTTCAAATGGCTGTACGACAGGCGACTGCTCTACAACTCTTCACATCACGACCGACACTATTATGTCCACAATATTCAGTGTAACGGCACTAAACACGACGGCTTCAAAATGAATGAATTAACTCAATCCCATTTCCAACACTGTCCTCACGACCCGACCGTCCATTGCTTTATGAGTACTGAAACTGATTACGACTACCAGTTGTGTTTAAATAGTGCCAATTCATTGAACATTCATTTATATCTAGTTTTGTTTCTTAATTCCCTTTTATATCATCTCTTCATTCAATAAAATCACTCTTTTTCACATTTATTCGTCTAATTATTGTTTGAAAACATTATTTTTCGATAAAATTATGAATATTTAATTTATGAAAGCCTTCACTTGTATTTAAAGTTTTGTTTTTCATTGTATTAATAATTTATTTAAATATATTCTAAATTAAAACTAATATTCATATCAATAAATAAATTTACCTTTTTTAAATAATTACAAAAATAGTGTCCAATATTTCATTCGTTAAATTATGTGTTATTAATTAACATATAATTATTAATTCAACAAAAATCAATAATTATAATGATTATAATTTATATTTTTCATAAAACATGACAAATAACTTGAGTGTTAGTTATTTACATATTTTTGTATATTAAGCTCAAATTTGCATAAAATATAATGAATATAACACAAAAATATTTGATATAAATATAAGTAATAATATTTCACACTATAATTTCATTCATTATATCCTTTTATTTATTAATTCATTCAATTTCTAAACAAATATTATTTTATCTTGTGTTCAAACACTCAATTGAATATTTGATTTTGATTTTATTAGTCATTATAATATAATATAATGACTAATATTCTTATAATTTTATTAATCTTTTTAATAGAAAACTTTTATGTTTCTATTAATAAATTAATTTATACAACAAAGTTTTATTAAAAGTTCCTTAATTAATTATTGTTTTAAATATAAATTAAGTTGTTTAAACAAATTAACAATGAAATCACTTTTAATTATAGCGCAAAGTATTATAAATTAAAATTTGATATGAAAATATTTAAAGTTTACATTTATACTGCAGTTATGTAAAACCAATTATCATGGTTATCAATAACTTATTATAATATCTGATATCAATTATGATTTGACATATGGTTACTTTTACAAATATGACCATTTCAATAAACAATTATTTTAAAATTTCATATTTTGCTAATTTATTTGATTGTTTATTAGAAAAGTGTTAAATAGTATTCAGTTTAATATTTAATGAAAATGATTAGAATTCAATCAATTTTGTTATCGCTTTGTTTTATGACATGATAAACGAAATTTGCAATTTTGATGAGCTTTTTACGTGATTTAATGAATAAATATAATTATCAATCAACTCGTCCTGTCCTTCAATTTAGCAACTTTTTACCAAGAATTATATCTAATGTATGAACAATTAATATAAATACTAAGAATTGCATTGAAATGAATTATTTATCTATTATTTATCCGAGATTTATAAAAAAAATCTATAAAAATAAATTTTATTTTAAATGATAGTAAATGAAGTACTTATTAGTCTGTAATATATTTGGGCGTAAATTAATGCACACATTCTCTACGAGAGGATTAAAATCCAAAAATTTTAATTAAAAGTTGGAAATACTATGTTGTCATAAATTTGTTGGAAAAGGTGTTAAGTGTAGAGAAAAGTATTGAAATATACAGAACGACAAGTTTTCTGACAAAAATTGCTATTTTTGACAATTTTTATAATGATTTATAATATGTTTTCAAAACTAATTGAATATTTTTCAATCATTTCTCAGTTTTGAGTCAAACCGTAGGCGAAATTGAATGCAAATAAAAACATGTTGTGTTAGAAAATACACTTTATTGAAAAAATAAATATTTATTTTAGTGGTAATTCATTCACAAATTGTTATATTCTTATATTATTTGACGCAAACGTTTAAATCTAAATAAACAAATTTTTCAATTAAAAAAACTAATAAAATTGATACAAATATTAAGAAATGATTAATTTTTAATGTATGAGTTGTGCTAATTAGTGGACACGGAAGAGGATTGTCAAGCAGTTCCACATCACCGGCGAAGGTGTCGTTCTGACAGCGCCTGAAGTTATCCTTAAATAACTTGCATTGAAAGTCAATACGTTGTGCATAACTGATAGTATTGTTAACATTTCCGCACTGTTTCTCATTAGACGTCCATTTCATGCGACAATCGCTACAATTGACGGGATTTCGCCATAAGTTTATAGTAATTGATCGCCGGAACAGATGTTTGAATTGGGTTTCGTTGAGGTATGCGATGGTGTTGTCCGACAATTGCAGATCAAACGGACGGTTGATTTCGGACAACGCTTGCGATTGAAAGGACGACGAATTCAATTGATTTTTACTCAGATCTATGAATATGTGATACGAGCTCTCACTCATCGCCAGAGACTGTTTGTCAAGAGTGTCGATACGATTGTCGTGAAGACTCAAGAAGTGAATATTTGGCAAATTTATGAAAGCATTGTTACCAACGCTTGCGATACGATTGTTCACAAATGAGAGTCTCTGGAGACGACTTTGTACTCCAAGAAGCGGTCGAAAAGCGTTTTCGGGGATAAACTCGAGACCGCAATCGTTGACGTGAATAACACTCGCGTTTTTGAATTGACTCAAAACGTTGAAAAACTTCATCACTTGTGTCCGCTCAACACCAATGGACGGATTGGCGACGAACGAGACCTTATCCGTGATGTTATACGTGTTTTTGAAGGCATTCTCAGCGATGGACACGAGATAATCGTTACGCTCGACCGATATCTCGCGGAATGCGAACAAATCCAATGTTTCGCTCTCTATTTGGTCGACAATAGAGTTCTGGAAAACAAACTTTTGAAACACAAGTATTTTGTGTGTTTGACGACTAGATTCTTGAAATATTTGTTTGAGGACTAAGTTTGAGGATATAGTTCTGCCGCAATCAAACACACCTTCACTTGTGTTGCAAACACACGGGAATATACTGGTGGCCGACGGACACACCGGTTGTGCACCGGTTATTATGTGCGCTATATTACTGGCTATTAGTAACCAAATCACAGCATGTATTGTATCTGCAATCATATAATTAGGAATTAATTTATGTTAACAATTGAATTGTGAAAATTGCTTTAATTAATGAACAAAATGCCCTTATTATAAGTTTGTGCCAAATTCTTGTCAGTTTTTTACACGTAAAACAATTAACATAAATGTTTGTATATTTATATATTCATGAGATTGAGTTTGATTTTCTGAGAATTGAATTGTTATTTTAATGAATTTATTTACTAATTTATATATTATTAAATTATATATATTGTTATAAGTTAATTTTATTTTTAAATATATAATTAAAATTTGGTAATAATTAAAACCACAAACAATTGGGTCAAAAACAGAGACTAAAGGCATAGTAAATAATTATAAACTAAAACTACAACTTAATTAAATGTCAATGTTATTTTTCATTATTTATAAAACATAGTTAAAACATGTTTATAATAAATGTGAGGAGAATTTCATTAAAATTGTTGATTTATTTTGTTATACAAGTAAAATATTTGAGTTTACTTTTTTATGAATGTGAAATTCAAAATAACTAAATTTATAACAAAAACATGAATGCCCTACCTCATCCCTCATCTAACCTCATCCATACAAACAATTTCTTAATAACCATATATTAATAGCATTTATAATGTTATCAAATGTCAATATAAGAGACAATAATAAATTAAATATTGAATTTACATAAATATTTGTTTCTAAACTACATGTATGTTATATTCAGGCAAATATTGGCATTATTGCTATAATGGCAATAGTAATTATCCAACATTTATATTGTAAACAATTTATTTACAAATACTATTAATAATAGTTATTAATAATAAAGGAATATATTATGGCATCAAAAATATTGTATAAACCGAAAGGAAAGGCAATTTTTAGTGTTGTTATCGTTTAGTTCATTAAACCAAAACATTTGCAAACATTAACATACCTTTCATATTGTGAGCGCAAACACAATAAATAATAGGCAATTTATTTGTCAAATTAATTATTATATATACATGTATTGGAAGTTTTCACATCATTTCGGGTTTTATATCCCATAATATTAGTTAAATCCGAAGAAATGGTTACATTTTCACTATGTTTTGCGCCAAAACCCATATATAAAGCAAACAATGAATGGATACAAAGTTTGGGTGAAAGAGAAGTTGTATTGTATTATTAGGTTTGGTTAGGAACTGATGGAAAGGCACTGCAAAACACATTTCCATTTGACTCATGTCTTCCCATTTGCAACACAACCACTGCTTTTTATCGCCTGTTGGGAAAGTCAAGGCTCGCCAAAAGTGTATAATACAGTACACTATACGCAACACATACTATACCATACAAACCATACAAAGTATTAAATCCGGTTATTTGATGTCATAACTCATACACCGATCAGTGTTTTTGAAGCGCTTTTTTGATGTTTTCACATCTAAAACACAATTATATTTAAATTCATTTCTCATGCATTTCAGGAATGGATTGTCTATTAAATTTGAAGACATATGAAATATGAAATGCATTCTTTTGGCTACACTTCGCTGTCTTATGAATTCAATGTCCGGACAGTTAAATGGTTTTATAGTTATTTTTTCAATTAAAAATTTTTGTAGTTTTTTACCAAGAAATGCGCCGACAATGTAGTAAACGCTAATTTATGGGGATTTCAGTGGTTTTGCGAAACGATAGTTAAATTCTTGATTACATGACGTTATAGTCTGTATATAAATTCACATTTTGTTTTTTTTACGATAAACACTTGCCTTGAATTTTGAGTTGTGTTTTGCTTTTCATTAATATATATTTATACAGTGCAACCTCTCTTGGGGAAACTTCTCTTGGGGAAACACCTCTTCATAAGAAACGGTTTTGAAATCTATTTTGGATTTCCTATACTTCTAATGTTAAAATGACCTCTCTTAGGGAAACTTCTCTTGGGGAAACACCTCCCCATAAGAAACGGATTTATAGAGATTAAGATAAAACTTCCACTCCCGATAAGAAACAAATATAATCATAAGCACATGATATGTAAAGTATTCAAAATATT